AGAGATAAACAAATGCTGGACCTAACATACAAGGATTTTAAGATGGCTCTTATAATTATCACCAATTAACGAAAACAAAACTTTTGGTGAATCAAAGTATCAGTAAAGAAATAGAAAATATTGAGGGAAAAAAACAGTCTTATCAACCAATTAGATGGTATTAAAAGGTCTAACATACATGGAATTGATAAATCAGTAGAAGAGAAAGAATAAGGCAGAAAAAAATTTTAAATAACAGTTGAAAATTTCCCAATTTGATGAAATACAAATTTTTTTCAAAATGAAGATATTAAATGTCAAGCAAAATAAACACAAAAAACCTCTAATGAGGCTCATCATAGTCCAAGTGATGAAAGCCAAGGATTAGGAGCAACTCTTGAAAAAAGCAGCATATAAAACACAAGGGAACAATGATCCAATTCATGGCTGATTTCTCATCAGAAACCATGACGAGAGAGAAGATCTCTAGTTCTGAAAACATCTTCTTTGGTCCAACTAGGATTCGAGGATGTCTTTATCCTAGATATTCGTGGTATTTTCCTTCAAGAAGGAAGGCAAATTAAAGATATTTTCAAATAAAAGAAAACTAAGAAGACACTGCTAGTATATAATAAATGCTGAAGGAAATTACTCCTGTCATGGGAAAGTGATATTGAGTGGAAACTTGGATCCTCTGAAAATAATAAAAACCAAGAGCTGAATTCTGCCAGCAACCTGAATGAACAAGAAAACAGATTCCCCTGGTATCTCCAGAGCGGCTACAGCCCTGCCAACACCTTGATTCCTGACACCAAGTGAGATAATAAATGAGTTGTTTTAAGCTGCCAGTTTGTGATCACTTGTTACAGTAGCAATCGAAAACCAACAGAGGAGCTCTTGGATAAATATTAATCCCCCATGTTTTGAAAGGCTAATTCTGAGGTGACAGCTACACCAGTTTTCAAAGGGTCCCCAACAGAACGGAGTCCCAGTTTTCTACAGTGGTAACCAGTCCAATGATGCTACTCAGGAGAGGCCTTCCCTCCTTTCTTGATTTAGTCTTCCTAATCCCCCATCTCTGGGTCTCTGGAAGCACATTCTAAACTCAGCGACCTGTGATCCAGGCCTTTCTCAGGTTCTGCTTTTGGGGGGGACCCAGACTCAGACAGCTCTAGGGATTGCCCTGGTCAGCAGATGCTGAGGTTGGGAGAGTTCTCAGGTTAGAATTCTTGGTTATTGTGAGTGACTCTCAGGTCACGTGGCAATCAGGACCGGTGGGGTGGTGATCAGAGCCGGCTGCAGAAAACCACAACTCTAACACGCTAACCCGCGGTGGACTCGGGCAAGTTACAGGCTAAAGTGGAGCACTGGCTTATGAGGTCGGGATACCACTTGAAAGGTCTGGGGTCAATGGTAATTATAAGGTCTGTAGAATTGGCTGTGCTTGATTAACTGCTTTTAGAGTCTTTTTTAAAATGAAGCAGGTTTGGGTTATTCGACTCAATTCAAGGCAAACTGTGAAAGTCAGAAAGCCTCACAGCAGCACTTAAACCCATCTGCAGGTCCAAGTTGTCGGGAAAACATGCTCAGGCACCGATGGTGCTGGCAGGACACCTGTAAGGAGACTGACGTGCAGCCCCAGCTGGACTCCTGCCTCAAAAGCCGGGGCCCTAATTGAGAAAGAGTGAGACCCTGATACCTGGGAAAGATTCATTTGCATCAAAGAACCTGAGGAAGTTGAACCCTCAGGCCAGTAGTAGCAGATCTCGCCTTCTTGACTGAGAGCAAACTTCCCTTGCCTGGACACCTTGCAAAGACCTCCCCTCAGACAGGTGCCTCATAAGATAGAGCACTTTCCATCCCCATCTGTAGATCAGCCAGCTCTAATGCAGTTTACCTCTCTTGTAAAACATTTTTGCAAACTTTGAGAAGCACTTAACAATATATCCTTACTGCAGCACAGGGAAACATGGCCATTATTTTACAACTTTAAATGGAGTATGATTTATAAAACTACTGGAACACTATGTTGTACACCTGAAGCTAATGTTGTCAACTATACTTCACTAAAAAAGCAGCTAACATACTTCATTTTGAATTCCTATGAACCTAAGAAGATACACCTTTGAAAAAGAATTTTAATTGTTTTCTAAAGAAAAAACATCAAGGAGAAACAGAAAAGTAATAAGAATGTAAGTACTAGTATAATTTAAGATAAGTTATGTGTTATATCTTCATAAACATTAGTGTTTATTTCTTACCATTTCTTTAGTCAGGAAATGCTATTTAATTTTTTGAGTACTTCCAATGTAATGCCAATATTTGAA